AGCGATCACACAAACGCCTTCACAAGCGCTGTGTTAGGGCGTGTCAGTCAGAGACACCTGCTGTAACCAGTGTAGGATTTGCGTGCTCGTGCTGCTCCGTGTCCTCGGTTTCCCTCCCGCAGCGCCGGCAGCACACTCACTTTTCAGGAGGTTAAAGGGTTCCTCGGCCGCTGAGCAGCGGGGCGCAGGGGGGGTGAGCTCACAGCCACCAAAGCGGTGTGTTAGCCCTGACGGCACGCTGGCCTCACGTGGTATTGTCACTTCTAGAATAATGTGAAAAGTCCCAGTCTGAGCACAAAAATATGTAAAATAATTAGGGATTTGTTCCACAACTTTGACTTATCAGAACTGTACACTGCTGGTAATTCTAATGGTGTTGTGACTGGTTTTGATTTTAGGTAGACTTGGAAATTACAGAAATAAAGAAGCTAACAGCAAAAGTTACGCAGACTCCTTTAAAAGTCCTCAGGAAAGGTCAGTTTGTTTTAAGCACTATGATGAGTTCAGTGAGATGAAAGTGTCTTGGTTTACAGACTGAATAATAATTCAGTTCTCACTTATATTCATCAATATATCTAAAGACAGGAAAATAATCCTACTTTTATCCTTCCTATCTGCATTGTGCTACTTAATTTTATTAAAACACTCAAAGTAATGCAAGGTAGGGCTCCGTCAGCTGTTTGCGTTCCATTGGAATTTGGGTTTCAGAAGCAAATTGTTGCCAAAAATGCTTGTAGGTGTTTACTGTTTGCCTCCACTGCTAACTAATAATTTAAAGTTATTATTTATTTTCAGCTTAGATAACACTTTCTCTTTCTACTAGAAAAAAATAAACAGGATATTGAAGATATTGAAGAAGAAGCAGAGCCTCCTTTGCTCCCCCTGGCAAAGAAAGCAAAACACGATAGCCAGGGTGCTCCAGAGCTAGAAGCTGAGAACGTTAACCGAAGAACTGCAAAGGTAAACAGCTGCTCTTTGTGAGGACTTTATTCCCAAGCTGTGAACCACTTGCTGCGGTGATGCCTGTGATAGCAGAGCTGTCCAGGATACTGTGGGGGGGACTCCAGAACAGGTATTGCTTCCTGAAATTTCTTGTGATAGGGGAAGGTCCCAGAAGCTCGTGTGGTGTTTGTTTCTGGACTCTTGTGCTGTGAAAAGGAGCCTCTTGAGCCAAACATTTTGTATGGAAGCATTTGTTGGTTGTGGCCTCAGCTGTCACACGATAGTGGAGTAACTGATTGGGCGAGTGACGTGTGTTTCAGGTGAAGGCATCCACTAAAAAAGCTCCGGTGTCCAGGAGCAGAAGAGCTCCTTCAGCAAGAGTGAAGCGCGTGAGTAAAAGGTAATAGGGGAGATCTGTTTCGCTGTATTTCAGAAATGGAGAATAAGTGTGTAGTGCTGATTGAACTCTTAAATGGAGTGGAGTGTTGTTTAGTAGGCTGGTTGATTTAGTTCTGCCCTGCTATAGGAAAAAAATCAGTGATCTGGCAGTAAATGAGAGATGGGCGACTTCCTCTGCTGTGATGACCGGCTGTCCCTAGCTTTGGGGCCTGCCTTTGGTTAATAAGAATCTCTGGTTTTCTGTGGTGATAGCCTCATTTGAGTCTTTAAGATAGCGCTTGTACATTTGTTAAAAGGATTCTTCTGAGCAGATGTTTATTTATTCCCCTTTAACAGATCAAGCAAAAACAACTTTGTCACTCCAGCTACTGGCAGGATTGTTGATCTCTGTGCTCGAGGAGGTACCTCCATGGTCACACCTAGATTTGATTCCAGGTTCGTATTCTGCTGAATTTCTCTGTCAGTCTCTCATATAGGGGAGTGCCTTGCCGTTTGCTTTATTTGGTGTCTGTCATCTGTTGGTGACATAATCCTCAGTGGCTCTTTGAACGTGAAATGAAAGGCTTTAGTCAAAGTGCTTGGAGCAGTTGCAGTGGGATGACTGACCTGTAACTTTTTGTCTCAGAGTTTTCAAGACACCAGGTTTGCGCACGCCCGCCGTAAATGAACGTGTTTACACCATCTCTGCCAACGGCAGCCCCCTTGCTGATGGCAACGATATCTTCATTACAGTCCCTGTTGGAGGAGGGGAGGTAAGCCAGGAACTTTAACCTGTAAAATCTGTGCTGAAACTTCCTAGGGGCATTACCGGTTTCGGGTCGTCCAGTCTTGTGTCTTTGGTTGTGCCACTGCAGTTTGTCAGGGGATGGATCTAGCTTAAGAACCTTGAAAGATTCTTAGTCGGAAGTGGGAGCTGTTCAGGCTGGTCAAAGCAGAATGCAGAATGGTGTTTTGCTGTGCATTTAAGTAAAATTTAAAGTAGCTTGTGCTGGCAGTACTGTGTTAATGCACTGCAAGCAAGCTATGAAATAAGCTTCTGGCCAAGCTGAATGTAGTTCTCTGCCTGCATGGTCTCCTAGTATGCTTGGATTTTATGTACTTTTATTTTTTAGTTTGTTTTGCTGCTCCCAGCTGCTACAGCTGACCAAACAGAAAACCTAAGCTTTGGGTCTTTTTTACAGAGCATTCGTTTAACAGCAAGTGATCTGACCAAGAAGAATCTTCTTCATCTGAATCCAGAGGCCCAAGGAATTGTGAAGAAGCTATCAGTAAGTCTCTGTATTTTTGTCAGTCAGGAAGCTGTAAGGCAACTCTGTCACTAGTAACTGGACTGTTGAGCTGTAACAAACTCCTTATTGCCCCCTGCCCTCGTCTTTTATTTTGGCTCGTGTCAGTGGTCAAGAAGAAACAGGAACTGAGAAGGGAAGGAAGGGAAGTAGATTGCATCAAATCTAGCTTAATACAAACTGTGGATAAACCATCCACTTGTTGAAAAAGAGCTATTGTCAACGTTTTGAAAAACTTAATCCAAACTGAAAGCATCTTCTGCTTCAGGCAGAAGTTGTAAGTGGTCATGGGATATAATAGTGTCTCTTAGAGTACTGATGAATTTCTCTTTCTTTCTAGGTTCGTCTCGCACAAGCTTGTAGCGGTGCAACAACCCACAGATGAAACTCAATGAGTGTTGATGTCCCTCTGTAAATAGACAATGCTACATTTAGGACTGCTACCTTTAGTTCTTTTTCTAATTTGTGTTTTCCTTCCATTAATTTACAGAATGGAAGTTAAGAACTAATTTTTCTACCTATAATATGTAATGGGATTAGAATAGATTGTGGTTTTTTTTATTTGGGGGAGGGGGAAAAAACCCTGTATTTCCTATTTCCTTTAAGGTTGAGACCAAGATACATTTATCTTGGGCTTGCAGACCTGCAAGCGGGGCAGAAAGGCTATTCTGGTATCTTGCAGAAGACATAAACAGTGGACACACGTGACTGGAGTTCGTATCTGTCTGGGCAAAGGAAGCAACAGATGAGATTTGTTGTGCTTCCATCCAGGCACGTCCTTTCTCTGCGAATGTGCTTAAAAGGCGATCGCTATCTCAGGGTGGTACCTGAGATACCTAAAGGCGAGTTACTGGTGCCTGGGACTAGCGGAAAGCTGCTCGTAGCTCATGATGCTGCCATGAGTAGCAAGCCTCTTGGTCTTACAGCAGCCGTTGTGTTTGTAACTGGCTTTGAGGTTTTTATAAGGAACTTATGCATTTTATTGTTTTTAAAGAAATAAAAGATCACAGGTACTTTAACTTAACAGAACCAATCGGCTAGACCGCTGCTTAACTAGATTACTGAGAGTAATCTCTAGTGTGAGAGAACTTTGCTTTTCCTACACCCCTCCAAAATCTTCAGGAGAAGCAGTACTCCCAGAACTGAGCATGGAGCGGGAAGAAGAAAGCTTGGGCTAATAATAACGTTGTTTTGCCCTTTCTTCTCATCCAAATTGAGTTGACGCACTTCATTTCTTAGACAAAGAGCCATATCCAATAAATGCTGTTTGAACAGAACAAAATAACTTCTTCAGTCATTAATTTTTTTTCCCCATTGCTTATAGGAAGTTCAGAGAAATCTTGTTGCACTTCAAATTCATGAAAATTCCACTTTGAATTTTGGCTCTTGGGAAAGGGTTACAGTTGGTATGCTTAAAAGTGTAAGCAGGAGCACTCCTCTGGCTGAACACTTCCTAGCAAAATGAAGCAGGGAAGAAGTCTTGTATTTGCTTCCCTACAACCACCATTTTATTTTTCCACAGCCTGGAAAAGCAGAGCTCTCTACAAAGCACTAGCTGTCTGTGGGAAGATTGCATAATGTCTTAAAATGTAAAAGACTCCTCTCGCTCACGACTCAGGGTGACATTTTTATCGGGCATCTTTGTAGCTGGTGCGGGATGGGGGAGGACACTTGTCTGGTGAACTAGGAATCCCTTGGGTGTGGTCAGCTTCGATTCCTGGAGCGTTTTTCTGTATGGATCATACCAAGTCAAATATGTAAAATGGCATCTGCAAGAGACAACCTGATCATCCTTCCTCTTTTTCAGCAGGGAAGCTAACATGAGAACGTTTTAATTGGCGTGTCAAGAGAGCTTTCAGAGTAAAGAACTTTGCTTCTCTAACTTTGTCTAAGAATTTTTTTCTAAAAATAAGCCTGTGTCTTTGTTAGCTGGCGCCCTCTCCTTTCCAAAGATCCTTTTTGTCCTTGATCTAAGCCTCTTTGAAAAAACTATAAACAAGAATGTTGAGACTTTGGGAATTCTACTAGGTTTGGAAAAGTTCTGCCTTTGGCAAAAGCCAAGCCTACAGCAGTGTTAAGGCAGACCGGGCAAAGCTGCTCTCAGGGGTAGCAGGCTTTGGTACAAATCTTTGATGCAGCCTCTGGCATGGGAGGAAGTTTACAGACCAGCATTCAGACATGAATTTCCTTTGCAAAGCAAGCACGTCACCGCAATGCAAGCCTCAAGCGCATACTGTGGGTTTGGAAATTAAGAGGTTTTGGCAGCTGCTAAATCCTGACTGCAGGTGGCAATATTGTGAACTGGTTAGCTGCAAGTACACTTCCCTTGCTGTGCTGGTTGGATTCTGTTAACACACTAATTTAAAAAACCCCGTTAGCTGAGCTGTAAATAAAACGGTGACACATGTGATTGGATACAGATGTGTTAGTCTAGATTCTGCTTTAAACAGGTCTTTACCACAAAAAAAGAAAAAAAATAACAATGTGATCAACACTGGTTAATAGTCAAGTTTCCTTTTCCAGGGGTTAGAGCAGGTTGATTGTGTCTGACACGTGTTGAAGCTATCCGGCAGCTAAGAGCTAAACATCACCTGCACCCGTTTTGCGTGCTGCCTGCACATGTGCTGCTCTAGAGTAAGCAGTATTTCATTTTTCTGCAGTTTTATTGCTCGTGTAAATTGCTGGCACGGCTTCTGGCCCTCTTGCATGGTACATGGCAGTTGCATTTCACTGAGGAAAGCTAGAACCTGCCCCTCCAGTTCGGGGGTTACTGGGGCAGCACTGGGAGCAGGCTGGCTCTCTGTGGGTTTGGGGGAGGTGGTGTTTGTGTGCTAGCCTGAACTGCTCTTTAAACTGAGGGACGGGAAAGAAAAAGCAACGCAGGAAAATAACTTCTGCCAGGGTGGAAGAGGCTACACCCACCCCTGCGCTGGGAAGGGACTCGAGAGGCTCGGTGCTCGTGCTACAGGGGCTCTCTGGGTGCAAGAACTCAAAAATTCAGCCCAAATTCGCAATGGAAACGTGGAGCTATTAACCTAGAGAAATAATGAGCAGGTGCCCAGGGAGGGACCTTCCCCAGGATGCGCTGACATTGGACTCCCCCAAGGGCCAGGTAGATGATGATCCTCGCGGGCGGCTCTCGGGCGGTGTGATGGATGAGCTCTATCAGGCGTTGTCAGAAACCGCGCCGCATCCAGAGCAAGCGTTTATCATCACCAGCACCTTGCAGGTGGTCACTGGTTGGGTGACATTGTAAGAAATAAATAGATAACAGTTCCCTGCTTGCTGATAGAAGGGGTGATAGTCCAGAACAAATCACAGCTGGCTCCAGGCATTTTTTTGTGCAGGAGTTTCTCATTTGAGGGTGCAGGAGAGCACATGCAACTCCTCCAGCCGAGCTGTAGAATTCCACCCCAAATCCATGTTTCCTGGGCCAGCCAAAGGCATAACAAGGGGAACAATTCCTTAGCATCACTGCAAAGGCATGGAGGAATTTCTCTTCTCTGAGTAGGTGGTTGGCAGCGCTGCAGGTTCACAGGTGAAGCGCGCCTCTGGCCAGCCCGGCCGCTCCGGGGAGGTCAGCTGAGCAGGCTGCGTCTCCTAATTTCACGTTCAATGGCAGTGTCTGCAGCTAGCCGTAAGGATATTCTGCAAAAATTCATCCGTTTGTGGAATTTGTGAGTCATTTTGAAAAATTTGCACGCAGATGAGTCGCAGGGGTCAGCCTCTTCAGCTTTGCGGTTTTTTTCCTCCTTTGCGGGATTTTTCAGTGGGAGGTTTTGGTGGGTGGTGTTTTGTTTGGTTTTTTGCTAACTGAGAAAGATTTAACATTCAATTAACCTGCCTGACGCCATGAAACAGTTGGGCACTCAATTAGGTGAAACGTATTAATTATTCGTGAGTG